AATTAAGGCAGTTCTGAAGGCAAATGGGGGTCCAACCCGTTACTAGCATGGGGTACCTAATAAAGTGGCCGGTGAGTGTATATCAGAGGCAGCCAATGTCCAAGGAAGTAATGTTCTAGTCTAATTATAAATAAAAGAAAGAAGCACACCACAATTATGTGAACACATTTAGCTCAGCAGCTTTAAAAAATATCTTCAGCGTTGCTCCAGTGGAGGAAAACATTAAACACAAACTGCTCTGAGTTCTCACCTTCATGGATGTGAAGTTGCGGATGTGGTCAAAGTCAAAGATCATCTCTACGTAACCTTTAGGGAAAGTCTTGTTGCTCCAGCCCACGTAGTCGTACCCAGGCCACACTCCGGGGACATGGCTGTGCAGAAAATCATCCAAACCCCAGCTGCCATCTGTCAGCTGGCCCAAGCCCTTGGTTAGTCTGGAGAAGCAACGTTTTTAATGTGTTTAATAGGAAGAATCTGAGCTCATGTTTTTACAGCTGGAATAAATCTTTGAATACACTTTTTATTTACACCTTTGAGCGGTTGCTCCATCATACAAAGAGTCATTAAAGGAGACCTCCAGGTGTTTGTAGATCATTTGGTGTCCATCAGGAATGCTGTAAGACACCAAGCCATCTGAAAAATCAAACAAAACAAAACAAGTAAAAACTCCAAGAACATGTTTCTTTTTAAAAATTTGGTTTGCATTGAGTTGGGTTGGGTGCCTGTTTTTTGGTGTACAAAGGTACCGTATTGCTGCACACTGTGGGTCAGCTGGCTAAACTAAAAGCTGAATGCACCTTTTTACTCAGTTACAAGACAGTTTCATCTCTGGAAATCTGAAGTCCAAAAATATGTACGATATACAGTATATTACCGGTAAATCTTAGATTTATAACTTAGATTTACATATATATTTAAGATATACATATAAGTTGTTGATATTTGATATTAATTTGAGATTCAGAAATAGATTTAAGATATACATGTAATAAATATATATACAGGGGTTGACGTTAAGGATTTTT